TGCAGAATTTTTGCAGAAACTATACATTATTGCAGACGGAATTTACCTTTAATCACCGCAGAAAATCATCGTCCCTGTCCCGGATCAGGCCGACACGTGAGCAAAGCGAAAAAAACACAATATATTATCTTCCAGAAAAATGTATTATTGATTTATTTATATTTTTAGGTTTGAACGGCAGAGTATAGCAAGTGCTGATAGAAGAGGAGATGGAAGAGTAGGAAGACGTCCCGATATTATGTTTATAGTAAGGAGGATGAACAAATTTTACGAATTAATGTATGCGGAATGTTCCAGAATTAACTGCACTAAACAAAAAGAAGATGATGATATAAAATTATGGCGTGAATGCAACGATGGATTATACTGGACACAAAAAAGTCGTAGGTTAGAAAAAGAACAATTTGGTATTATCGGGATCCAAGTAGCCAGATGTAGGTTGAGTTTGAATGTCCTTAAATTTTATCATGTATTTATCCTGTATTTTATTAATAAAGATTTTCGGTCAGAGGAACGTACAACGTATCATGTGTTATTTTTCAATCTTACTATAACTTACGTGGTAATAAATGCTGACTCCCCAAAATGATTATTGCATTAATTAATGGTACAATTATATTATTTACATATGTACCTTCATTCATTGTACCAACGAACTCAGAACGAAAAGCTGGATTACATCAAACAGATCTTAAGGTTTCCAAAATTTTTAACGTAACTTCTTCAAGTTTATCATCACTCTCTTTCCAGTCTTTTGTGTGTGATAAGTCATATGGTAAACTTGATAAATTTTCAGATAAAAAATTAGATACAAATTTTCTACACATATCTTCGATTCTTGGTATAGGAACAGGTTTCATCGATCTTACCGGTTTCTAATATATGGCGCATAATGTTTTCAACACATGTAAGCAAATATTAGTATTGCCATCTTTGCTAATATATTATGTATATAGATTAAGTCTGATAGGACTTGGCCCCATTGCTTTGCAATAAATACCATAAATGTCTTTTTTAAATTTCCCGGTAATTTCTGAACAAGATCCGAATCATCTCTAATAATTTGGTTAGCTAAAGGATCCTTCCAGGTTAATTCTTGAACTGAAATTTCATCTACACCAGAATATAAATATTGATAAAGGGACAGAGAATCTTTTCCGAGTTTTCTTTTTACTTCAATTATATTCTTTTTGATTTGATCTGAAGTAAATGGCTGTTCTTTATCTGTTTTGATTGCCCTCATATCATAAAGACCATAAATCCCTTCAAAGGCATTATCAAACTGAAAAATAAATAATACGTTAAATTTCAGAAATACATAGAATTTTTATCATAAAAATAACGCGGATTATCAAGTGCATATGTAAAGTTAACATCTTCGTGTGGCCATCACGCTGATGAAAATCCCACTCTATTCATTAGAAAAATTTAAGAAAGTATCCCAACCAATCTAATAGCAAGTGGGTCGTCTACTGCCTTAATAAAATCAAAAATCACGAATTCACGATCCCGTAAATACTTATCAATAATCTTGAATGCTTTTTTTGAATTATCCATATATTATCGCACAATTTTATGAATATCGTCTTGGCTTCCCCCCCCCCAAAATATTGCAAGATGATTTAGATTTTCATGAATAATTTTAGGAGTTTGTGTATATTTCTGGCTTACATATATGGGTGAGATATTTTGATGCAAACCACTAATGAAATAAGGAATAATTTATTCTTGCATCTTTTTTAATTTAGTGCTCAAATATAACAATTGTACTTCACTCTGGAAAGAATTTAGTTATATCTGTGATTTTATCTGAAGATATCCTTTTAAATATGACATCTTCTCAATATGATTTAGGTACATTCACAAAGATCTGAAAGCTATTTTGTATAAGTTGCCATTTTAGCTTAAAATGCTTGTCTATTAATATGAGATCATTATTTTTGATATAATAATTTAATTTTTTATGTAGAATTGATATATTTTTCTTATGATACTTTGTCTGATATCTATTAATATCATAAAGTTTCCTTAAGTATTGATAGGTATTAATAGATATATATCAAAATATTTTTATATTAATTTCAAAATTAATTCTTGATATATCAATGAATAGATAACATATATTTTTAAATTATAATCTTCTTATGTTAGGTAAAAGATAAGATCAATAAAGTCAAACTTATTAGTTATTTTACTAATATTATAAGCTACAATATATAGTTATATTTCATATTATATTTCATGATCTATATTATTTAATAGCTTGACTTTCTCTTTGAACTTAAGTTTAAGATCTGATTCATATATCAAGTATATAATTGAACTATCAAAGATTCCTATATCTTAATTATTACTAAAAATATTATTATAACTTAATCATAATTCTCTGATTAACTATCATAATTAATCATAATTTTCTAATTAGCTATCATAAGTTACAATTAATTAAAATAATATCTTTAGTTATCATATTAATAAAATCTTTATTAATAAATATAAATTTTAAATTAATATTATATAACTTCAAGATTTCTAGAAAGTTTTTCAAGACTTTATAATATCTATTTATATTAATATTTATATTTGTTTTAATTATATCAAGTATAAAATAGATAATTAAAAAGTTAATATCTTTAACTTTTATTATAATATTATAAAGCTTATAGTATTTATATATAGTTTATAAGTAATATCTAAGTATATCTTGGTAATATTAATATCATAATTCTTAATTTTATTTAGTAATAGAATAGTAAAATTAATAATTATAATTATAATTTTTAAATCTTTTATATTAAAATATAAATAGAAATTATAATTATCATATTTATTAAATAACTTATAAGTAAATTTAATATAATTATTATAATATTAAAATAACTTCTGATTTACTATAGACTTTCAAAAATAAATATACTTAAAAAAGTATTTTGAGTTATTAAATTCTTGATATTATAGATAATTTTTTAAGTTTATTATAATAAAATATTAATGTATATTAATCTTTTCTTATAGTTTATTAGATGTCTTAATATAAAGATTTAAATATAGATAAAGAAATTTATAATATATTTTTACTATTATAATACTGAAAATATATTGATATGATCTGTTGTGAAAATTTTAATATATCAGATAAATATTAATAAATTATTTTTTTAAAATAAAATTTTTAATTCTGTTTTATTTAATTAAGTTATTAG